TGATTAGTAATACTATTACGAAAATGATTGCATGCTGAAAAAAGGGGGAATTAGGTAATTTTGGGGTTGTTTTAGAACTAGTGATGCTGTTATTTTTCTCTAGTTCACTAACACCTTCAAGCACTTCAAACTCGCTGGATGTTTTTAGGATCTGCTTGGCTAAATAAGTATTAGTCTCTTGAAGGAGGATCTCTTTTTCTGATAATGTCTTTTATATTGAAGACAAATTATCTCTTATCTGCATTGATTCTTCTTTATTATTCATCAATTCTATTCATGTTGAGGTTAATTCATCTCTTAACCGCATTAATTCACCTTTTTTTTTACTTAATTCATCTTTCTTCAGATCTAAGTCAACATTCTTTAGCTCAACGTTTTGCCTTGACTACGCTAACTCTCGTCTAAGAAAATCCATTTCTAATAAGTCTTTCTGGACTAAAAAATACTTCATTTTCAACTCTTTTATTTCTGTTTGAAAAGCTTGTATTTCTTCCAATTTTGTAGATATATCATTTTCAGCTTTTATGAAAGAAATATCTTTATAGATGATCTGATTTTTGAGTTCTCTCACCTCATCTTCAAGCTGATATACACGATCTGAAAGCCTTTCATTATTTTTTATTAGTAGATCACATCTACTACCAAGCTGATTACCATAGCTTATAGCAATTTCTCAATCTTGATTAACACATGCAAGTTGGTTTTCAAGTTCAGTTTGGCTGGGTGGATACTGATTAGATGGTAAATTTCTAAATTTATTGCCAGATACAAGGAATGTTCCATTATTTATCTTATTTAGCGTATGCACATTTGCCATATGAATTTATTTAAAAGTAAAAAAAATCACTCTAAAATATTTTTTTGACACATCTAGATATAATGATTAGCCAAGGTAACTATTTTTTCTCGAAAAGAAGCAAGAATTAGGAATCAATATTAAATCAATAACAAACCAATAATCAACCAGTTTAAAACAAATATGATATTTGAAGTATATACATCTTAAACTGATTTCTATTTGGATTAAGAGTAAATCATACTAGGTGGTTAAGAAATTGAAATTCTTATATATATAAAACCAATATATTACCAATATCAGACCAAGATCAAACATATTGTGAATAAATTTTCTACAAGTTTTTTATTGGTATCATATTAATCTCATTATTAATAAACTATGAGCAAAAAACAAACAACCTATACTCGTAAATTTCTTAGATCAGATACCACCTGCTTGTTACTTGAATCTATTGAAGAAATCAGAAATGCTCAGAATAATATTCCAGATGCTTGACGTATTATGTGTAAAAAACATCATATAGGATCAACAACATATCAAAAAATTATTGATAATAAGAGGCCTCCTGAACCAACAGAAGAATGATGTAAAATTATAAATTTTGTTAACATTTCTAGCCTGACTTTAGAAGATAACCAAGAATCTTCACAGTCAGAAGACGTAGAGCATGTCTTCTTAGAACTGCAATGCAATGCTGATACTTCTTCCTCTTTTACACTAGAAAATAGGACTATTTATGCAGAAGACACTAGTAAAAATTCTATTAACCTAAACACAGTAACTAATAGGCAAAAAGATAGGATTAGTCAGAAAAAAAAGATTAATACGAAATTAAAAAGTGAATCTTTTTCAGAGGATACATCTAGAAGGGAATCAGATCTTGGAAAATTATTAAATATTACAGAAAAAATTGTTACGTATCTATCCTTATTTCTATAAGCTGAGAGTATCTTTCCACTAGAACTTTACCTGCATTTAATACTAAGTTAAGCCATTTTTCAGTTTTCAAGAGATACTTTTCAAGCTCTTTGCACTTTTTTTTAAGTCCTTCTCACTAATCAGATTAGAAGAATTAGCTAAAATCTAAGAGCTAAGAGATGCTTCGCATGATGATTTCCGATCTTCTTTTGGCAAATTCTTGACTACTGGAGCCTTGCTAAAGGTTGGGATAATATATGCCTTTCTATGTAACTTTATGTGAAACTGGTTTTTATTTGGCTCAGGGACGCCTTGAACCTTTCGAATATTCGATATATCAAAAAATAGCATTGGTTCTGTTTCACCATTATCAATACGAATAAAATTTCTAATAACTGTGACTGTCTTACCTTTTTTATCCTTTAAGGTAACTGGCATATCTGTAAACCATCCTAATGAATCAGTGATATACTTGGAATTGCCCTTTATAGTAAAATTAGATGGTTTATCAGCTTTTCATCTAAGCATCTTGATTGCTGGGTTATTTAAACTACTTAATTCACTGCCAGTATCTAAAAAAGATTTAGAAATAGTTAAGTCATTTATATTAGCATTCAGATATTGTAAAGATGACAACCACTCGTCTGATTCTTTCGATTCCTCCTCCTGAGCCTTTCGAGATAAGCACATTTTTCGTATCGGTGGTGAGAGCTTAAACAATAGCTGATCATACATTTTAAGTTGGCTAGATTCTAGAGGTAAGATTGCATTAGTATCACCGACCAACTTATGCGAAGCGCCTCTCAGCTCATTTACCTGTTTTTTACCAGTAGATCATATCCAGTCCACATATTATTGTCCTTATTATAACCATCCCCATAATTTTCTTCACCATCTGAATCAGGAGAAACTATTGGTTTAAGAGACGTAAAATATGATCGAGTAAAATTAGATTGAGCTATCAGTCTTTTTGGATAACTTCCTTTGCTATGGCCCATTTCTTTACAAATTCCACATTTTTGTATGTAAGCTTTTTTCTGAAATAGATCAGCTAACTGATTTACATTATTCCGAGTTTCTTCAAGTCCTTCTTCCATCCTATCAATTCTAGTAGAATTATTATTTTGCTGTAGATGAGATCTTTGAAAAGGTTTTATAGGATAATCTAAGTCTAAATCTTCCTTATTAAGTAGATCTACTTCTTTTAAGTATTCAGCTACATAATAATTCTTGAGACCTTCCTCTATTTTCAATGAAGATAGTGGACCTCTCGGCTGTCTAACTGGTTCAACAGGTTCAACAGTTTGAGGAGTAGGTATTTGCGTTTGCTGAGTCATTTGAAATTCTAATTCAGTAATTTTCTTTATTAATACCTAGTTTTCAGTTTTTTGCTGTGCCTGTGTGTCTTGAAATATTTTTTGTATATCTGCCAAGGAAATCCCTTGCTGTTGAGAAGTTGAAATAGGCGAGGGTTCATATATTTGCCAAGATGCTCAATTAGATACTAGCGGATTTGATATTTTATCTCTTTTATATCTAGCTATTTGGCGTAACTCTATTTCATAAAGCTTTTTAGCTAATTCATCTAATGGTAAATGTTTGCCAATATCCTCAGCTTTTTCAAGCTATGGCAGTGGAAGGGCATCTAAGAATTTTCTACGTAATTCTTCAGGCTTATAGTTGACTTATCTACCTATTCGTACTATTTTTCTATATAATTCATCTATAGTCATATCTCTCTTCGTGATTGTTCTATACATCATATTACGAAGCTCCTCTTCCACTGTAGGAAAATGTGTTTTTAGCCACCATTTGGCTTAACCAAAACGAATACCAGCTACAACCACCGTAGTACTATTGTTAGCATTTAGTGCATTAACAATAATGTTAGTAGGATGACCATCAGCTATGCGCTAATCTTTATCCCAGAGACCTTTTACAGCTCTCAACTTGATTAAGGAAAGTTAGAACAAAATTCTCTTTAGACTTATTTTTTCGTTAAACTTAATAAATATAACTTAAAAACTGATATCGATTTTACATCTCCCACAGACACACAATGTTATAAATCATAAGAAAATGTTAGGACAAAATTTTCGTTAGATTTATTTAAAGATTATGCAATTTAATGAGCTAGCTTGTATAGAAGCCATTCTTGTCTATAGTAAAATTTGTTAGATTTAAAAGGTCACATGATTTTTTTAATATGCTAATTAATGCACAAACCCTTGCAGAAGCAATTCTTGATTAAGGAAAAGTTAGGACAAAAACTGTTAGACTTATTTTGGTTAGACTTAATTTTTTGTTAGACTTATTTATAAGGAAATAAGTATCGTTAGACTTATTTTGGTTAGACTTAAGTAATTAATATGCAATTTAATAAGGAAAATCACGTAGAATCAATTCCTGATATACATTATTTAGTTAGACTTAATAAATATAACCGAAAAATGATATAAAAATTAAGGTTCTAGAGCCTTTAGAAGCTTTTCTAATATAATAAAAAATAATAAAAAACAATATTGATTTTACATCTTCCACAGGCACACAATGTCATGGGATACGAACATTCTGTCATCAAACCCCCATAATGACATTGTGTATTGCTACAAAATGTTTGATATATAAATATCTTCTCCTAATTTCTGATTGATCTAAAACTGATTCGGTCACCCATTCAGTTATCTAATAAATATTTTAATTAATTAATAAAAGTGTATATAATGTTTAATTAAAAATGTCTAATAAATATTACCTTATTACTACTCTCGATAATGGATTTAATATTTGCTGCTATCTCACCTTCACCTTTACTTCAAGCTTTATCCAGACATTCTATAAGTCAAATTTTATTATATAGTTTACTTTCTATTAAGATCAATTGTTTAGCAATTTCCAATGGGTCTAAATCTAAAAATTTGAGTTTCTTTATTTGTTTTGCAAAATTGGTGATAGCGGTAAATTAGAATTTGTCATGACCATTACTTTAAATACGGTATCTTTTAGTTGTTGTTATTACAAATTTTCAAAAATCAAGAGATTAGGTTTTTTTTATTATCATAAGAAAAAGTTTGAGTTTACATAATTCATGTATTCATAAAAATATACATACTCTTTTACTAATCACTTTCGTTAAACTAATCATGGCAAAGGCCAGATTATCATACATTATTGTATTTGCAAATTCCTTCACTCTTTTTAAACAAAGTGCATCATCATCATCTATATAATAATTTTCTAACCAAGGTTTTATAATATTAAAAACTCTTAATCTAATAGGTGTTTATTTTCTTTCTTGCCAAATTTCTAACTCTATATGGGTTAAGTTTTCAGGTAGTTGAATCATAAATCTTTTAATTAACATATCAAAGAAGTTATCAGTTATACAGAAAGATCTATATATCAACAGAAATATTGCAATAAAATTGGAATCTAATATATCATGCATAATTAATCTTTCAGCCAATGCATTTAAAGTTTCTCCTTTTACACAATTTTCCATATGAAATACTATTTCTGAAGGATCTTAATCATAATTAAGAAACCAATGGTTATCTTCCTTTTATTTCTTTAATTAAGGACTCGTCATACCTACTGTACTGTTTGTATTTGTAATTGAAGGAGTGTTTATACGTGTTGATGAAGAAAATGAATTAAAAGATGCAACAATTGCTGAACTATTAGAACGTAGCCTGCTTGCTATTAAATGCTTGCTTGGAATAAGTGAAATTAGATTATCAGCGCTAAAATCTTCACCAATAATTATTGAGCTATCATCAACACAACCTTCAAGAACAGCTTGCAAATCTGTTAATTTAGAGGTCAGGAGAATTGTTGAAATCAATTAATCGTCTGCAGTGTTATTCTCACTAATTTGATCAAGAGAATTAGAATTGTTTAAGGGACATATTTTTGATCTCAAATCAACATTGCCAGAACTTCTCAAAGTTGAAATTGATTGATCTTCTGCAATGTCATTCTCACCAATTTGATCAGGAGAATTAGAATTATTTGAGAGACATATTTTTGATGTTGAATCAACATTGTTAGAATGCCTTGAAGTTGAAATAGATTGATTATCTGCAGTGTCATTCTCATCAATTTGATCAAGAGGATTAGAGTTATTTGAGAGACGTATTTTTGATATTAAATTAATATTGCTCAAACGTCTCAAATATCTTGAATGTCTTGAACGTATTCCTTGAACTCTCATTTGCTTCAGGGTATCTTTTTCTTTAACAAGAAATTTTGTAGCAATCATAACATCTTTAACAGATTTATCTATAACGTTTGTACAAACTAAAACTTGATCTATAGTACTTAGAAAAGACGATGAAATAGTAGCTATTTGAATACACATAATCAAACTTGATATATTATTATATAACGCTTGTTTGGCAACTTTGAATTCATTTATTGTAGCCAAATTATAATCATTCAAGTCTTGTAAATTAAGATCTTCTATAATAGCTAAAAATTGTCCAATCTGAGTAAAGACTTATTTAGTCTGTGAAATCAATTGAGGTGAAAAAAAACCTATTGCACTTAGTATGGAAGAATTGGAAGTATCAATTACTTTTTTAACATAATTGAGAAGTAATATAATAGCCAGAGATACAGTACAAGAATGTTTATTCAATGCAGTAATAAAATTAGGTGATAAAGGATGTGATGGACTAGCAGAAGGGTTTAAGGTACTATTATTATCTTTACTTGAGAAAATCAATGATAGTTTGACATCTGTTTGTATTTGTAATAAATTATTTTCACACTATGAACTTCCTGTAGCATTTTCAATTAATTTTAGAATGATGACTCTTTTGATACCAACAATATTTTGTGCTGTTTAAATAAAATTTCAAACTGCTTCTAAAATTTCTTTAGCATCATTTTTTACTTTTTGTGCAGAACCTGGCGGAGGTTATACATTTGCAGCTAATTTTGTAGAAATAACCAATTTTGAGAGTATTGCCATAATATTCCTATGATAACATTTAAGGATCTTGTTTTGTTTGATTGCAATCAAACCTTTTCCTACAGTACCAGAAGCTTTCTATTTTTCATCTTTTAACTAACTCTACTTGAACCCTTATGTGTATATCATTTTAATATGAGCTGTTAGGTCAAAGTTACGATTAAAATCATAAAGAAATAATGATAATTAGAGAATAGACTTCAATTTCGCTTGCATAATTATAGAGTTACCATTTTGATAATCTTCTTTAACTTCTAAAAAAGTTGTAAATGAAAACATTGATTTCTTCATTATTTTTTTATTTGCTATTTTATTTGATTTCTTATAATAATTAATAATGATTAAGGATTTAATTTTTAAAATGAATTTGTAATTAGTTAATAAAATAAAAACTTACTTTTATTCTACAGTAATATTATTTGAACTTTTTACTTCTTTGTGTAAGATTTCTTGATTTGTAAGATAAGTAAATATAACAATTATAAAAAGACTTATCTTTAATGACAAAACCCAAAGAAACAATCTATTAAATATAATTGACAAAATTTAAGTAGGTTGAATGAAATTATTACAATTGCTTACCAATTATATAAATATAAATCATACAATCATTTAGTATCAATGATAAAATTATATTAAACATTAAAATATGAAATTTTATTGAAATTCTAATAAGATAGAAATACATCACAATTTTACTATTTCAATATAGAAAAGTTTACTATTTTTATATTTAGTATTAAATATTTACAGTTTATATTTTCTTTTAAATTGCATTAGTAGGATACCATCATATAATATAATTATATTATATGATGATATCCTATTTGCCTTAGATTATATTACTACTATATAATCTGGATACCACCATATAATCTAATTACTATCATATAATCTGAGTATCACCATATAATCTAATTACCACCATATGATCTAAATAATATAATCTAATTACCACTATATAGTCTAAATAATATAATCTAATTACTATCATATAATCTATTTATTTTTACATATCAAGTATCTTTTTTATGCTCTAGCTATCCTTTTAAATCTTTCTTGCTATCTGTATTTTTTATCACTATATAATCTAATTACCACCCACTATTTAATCTAACTACTACCATATAATCTAAATATTACACTTTTCTTCTTGTTTCTGAGTTATTTACATATTAAATTATATAATAGAATTGTTGGTCTTCTATAGCTATTTGGATATATAGTTTTATGTCAAGGTGCTGATATCTTACGCTTGATTAAATGCTGAATTCTATATTGAAGTACTTATCCTTTGTGCTTATTTGGTTACCTTCTAGATCCCAAAATATAGTAAAAAAATATCATATTAGGTGATGCAATAATTCAATGTAAATCTATGTCTAAATTTAGTTAGCACTATAGCATAATTTCTGGCTGATCTTTAAAATATGTGATTTGAGGATCTAGCTTGGCAATACAATAGCACTATGATGATATCATGAAATCATCATGGAACTGTTGAAAAACTAATAGGGAATTATCATGAAACTGGTAGGGAACTAGATTAGTTCTATTAGTTTGCTAATTTCATACCACTTCTATGCCAACTTGAATACTGAAATATTATGCTTAAAGTTTTGACTGAAATTGTAAAATAATACTAGCTGAATTTATACTGCGCCAGTTACATGATACTGTTACAACACTGAATATCCTTATATAGTTACAGGCTAATGATGAAAATATTTTCAGAATATTCCTGAAACCTAATATATATGCATTTGTGCTAAAAAAATGTCTTAACAGATTATAAATCCTGAAACAGAATGATAAATTACATTAGATGACTTACACAATATCAGTGGCTAAGTTTAATTCTACTTTCATTGATCTGTGAGTCAAAGAATTTGAAATGCAAATATAAAAAAAATCATGCATTACCATAGCCAGCCTGCATCATCTTGCAATTTAACTATTATCTATTTATTAGCAGTATATTAGTGGGATATTATAAACACTTCTGAGCTTTGATCATGATTTAATCTAAGTCAAGGCAGTGTGTATGCCAATTTTTGAGCATTACTAATGACACTAATTAGTATATAGAACTAGTGACAGAACTAATAACGTGTTCATTATACTTCTTAAAGTTATTAAGCTTTTTCATTTCTTTCTTGATTAGTATCACTAGTATCACTAGTAAAAGAGTAATAAATTCTAGGAAAAAAAATCAAAATTTTTCTATGTCATCCTATGGCCTATATGGAATATAATATGATAAATGTATGAGATATATGTAATATATATATATGCTATAAAAAATAAAAAAGTTAAAAGATTCAGATTTTTCCAGTGATACTAGTGACACTGGTGACATCCATTAAGAAGACTTTCTTTTAGCCTAGAATTCCTAAAGAGCTTATTGTTCATGTCACTAGCTTCTATCACTAGTTTTTTTTCTAGTGACACTAGTGTCAAGTTGTATTATTTTTGTTTACCTCTAAAATACCTACTAATATCTACATTAAAGCTAACTTAACCTATTTTTTGATAATAATGTTCTCTCGATCTATATTTTTTTACATGTGTATTGCAATAGTTGTATTTAGAACTAATCATCTCATTACATCTGCTTTTTTGCAAGCAACTTGCCTAGAATTCTGATGAACTTTACATTTTTTAGATCATAGCATTTCCAATTGTATACTTCTCTAGTTCTAAGAATATATTAATAATAATAAAAATTTCAGAATGTTACCTTTTTTTTGCTTTCTATTTATATATATCAATTAATAATATCAGGGAATTATTTTCATTTTAAACTTTTTTCTTGCAAATAATATATCTTGAGCTTTAGTATAATTATAAATCTTTCAAAAAAATGATCTAATCTGAGCTTTCAGAGTTCCTTAACGCTCCTGCCCCTTTTCACCTAGAGGCTAAAAAAGATAAAATGATAGGTTGGGTGATCAGATAATTAATAGCCAGAAAGTAATTGTTACTATTACTGATATAAAGGTATTTTTTAATATTCGTATTTCTGATAATACAAGTATTCCTAAATTCTGATCTAAAATAAAGGATATACTTATCACTAGAAAAGACAAAAATGGAGGCACTGTAAATATGAGTCTATTACGAAAGGAATATATAAAGATTTTCTCTATTCATGGTTATCATGCGAAAAAAAAACTGTATCTCTGTATTATTATACTTAATAAAGACTAAAGGTTTATTGTTCTCAATATCATCTCAAATTACAATTCAAAGGTTAATTCTGAATGTAAAATAGTGACAGCTTCAGACGATATAGGCACATATTATCATAAAGTTATGAGAGAATATAGGATA